CGAGGGTCTGTTTATGGACCAGTGCATCCGAAAGGTGCGCTCAGCATTTAAACAAACACGCTTACAGAACTGCGTGTGTCTGTTTGGGTTTATGCTTCTCCACATTTGAGTCACAAGTGGTGCTTACGCACAAAAGAGGCAAAAGACATTCACACCAAAATCAACCAACCAGAGTCGTTGAGTAAAAGCTGTGACTGATCAGTGTGAAGTGAACTGTTCAAAGGAATTCAAGGAACACGTTTGTAGCAACGGTCAGTTAAACTTGTGGGATGTTGATGTGATCAGTTAGGTATCAGTTAATGAAATACAGAACAGGGGGAACAATGAGGCAGCCCCTGAAACAGCCATGCTCCTGCAGGTAGAGGACACTCGTGCTGGGTTCCTCCTGGCTTCATGGTGAGAGCATGCAGGCAGCTCCTGGAGGATGAAGGAATTAATACTGAAACATGAAGGTCATCTGATGTCTCCGTGTTGCACCTCAGACTGTCTGTGTGCTCCATGATGGGCAGAGCTGGGAATGATGTGGACTCATTCTACGTCCATGTCAGTACAGAGATCCAGCACGACTGGATTTGTCCTGTTTTTGAGCAGAGCCTGACACGGTGAGTGCTGTTAGGTGACCGTCATCAAAAGCAGGTTTTCTTTGGTAATGTGTGCGTACGCTGCAGTTTAGAGTGATGCTAGCAAGCAACAAAAGTAGATGAATCCACAGCCACACACTCACGACTTCCTCCTATTTCAGTAAGGTTTGTTGGAACATTGCAGGGTCCAGTGCTTTGTCAGGCTTGTTTTTGTGCATGAATCAGTGCGACTCGATTTATTAAGAAGAATAAAAACATAAAGACAAGCTACAGTGTTTCCTTTTAAACCTGAACACTGAGCCACTCCCATTCACCTCTGCAGTGCTAACTTGAACTCATGAATGCAATGAAGTCCTTAATAACACGACACTTAAGTGGATCCATAAAATCCTCTGTGGCTGTGACGAGGCTGCTCAGATATGGTAACCACGTCCATTCATCAGCACTGTGGTTAGCTGTCTCAATCCCACAGCTCATGTGATCATCTCCGTGGAAAGACAAAGCTACGGCTCTATGCTTACAGCTCTGGAGCTCCAGTGCATTTGAAATGTTGCTTTTTAAGGACCACTGTTTGAGCCCAGTGTAGTGACACTTATTAGTTTTACTGTTTATGCAACTGTTCAAAGCTTCATATTATCAGCGGACATCGAGATCTTTGATCAGTTGAGCACATGTTTGGATGAGTTTCAAAGACAGCCGCTCCTTTAAAGCTGCCCTGTGCCATTCTGGGCAGCGACACAGTGCATCTTCTCATATTTGCTAATTGCAGCTTAAAACAAAAGTGAAGACAGCTCCTGCCCGGGAGATCAAACCAAGCAGGAAGCCTGTGTTCAGAGTCCAGCGGGGCCGATTCGCAGGCTGCTGTCACACACCAGAAAACTCTTACATAAGCGTGTCAGAGCCAGTAAACAGTGGCTTGTTTTCTCAGCCAGTCTGACTGATAAATGAGTTACTGCTATCTGCCTACGTGGGGGAATTTCAGGGACCACTGTGTCATCACAAAGCAGCTGCTGTTGGTGCAGACTGTGGGTGAAGGTTAGAGCAGATTCAACATGCACTATTTAATAGGGATGACTTAACCTCAGCTCTGATTACAGGAGGTGAAAGGTCAGAACATCCCTCACCTGACTGCAAGATGGTACAGTGAAATGTTTAAACCATAACCTGAGCAGACACATCTTCTCACAGATGGATGAAGGAGTCAGCTGTAGCTCGTTCCAAGGCTTCGGCTCTGATGGTGTTATAACACGATCACAGCAGGGCTGAGCTGTAAGGGGATACTGCTGAGGGTGCGAAGCTGGCAGCTACCTCTAATGAACCTCTCTTAGTGAATATCACTCTACATAAGCCTCACAGTGCACTTCAGGCGGGGATCACACAGCACATTATAGCCCAAACCCAGCAGAAACATCCAAGTCATGCTTCCAACCATGTCTCCAATGTTCTCCTTTTGAGTTTGCCTGTTGAGACCAGTGGTGCCAACCAGTACTCCTCTCAAACAGCCTTTATTGCTGACGGTCTCCTTACAGCAGCTTTTGTTAAGGGTGGAATATGTTAAGTGTCAGTTGAACACTCAGTTCTTGAAGGTGGTGTACTGGAAGTGAGTAAAGGATGTGATCTTACATGCCCCGTGCCACAGCTGCCCCGGGCTCAGTGAGGCACAAGAGGACCAAAAGATGCTCCATGTGCTCCGATCCAACAAAAGAGTTACTGTAGCCCAGATTACTGGAAAACCTGAAGAAGCACACACAGCTGGACCAGTAAAGAAGCTGATGGAGTCAATCACATCTTTCTATCAGGGCGATATGTGACATTCACAAACGTATGCAGGCAGCGTGGGGCTCTGGACAATGTTCTGCTGCGATCACACTTTGAAATGTACCATCTTCCTAAACACCTTTATGGCAGTAGCCTCTTCCAACGTGAGGATATGCTCTACCTCACCGCAAGGAAATCAGAAATGGTTTCACAATCGAGACAAAGATTTCAGTGTCTTCACTTGGCCTCACAAGTCCCTAAATGTTAATGAAACTGAGCATCTGTGGGATGTACTGCAGAAACACGACCAATTCATTACGGGGGCAGGACAAAACAGGCTGTGGAAGAGAGCCAGGGAATAATAATACCTGATGAATACACACAGAGAGTGAGAAAACTGGATGAAGAAGAAGCAAACTGTGATGTAACTAAGGGAGGATTCAGGGTCACCTGGTCCAGCCCTAACTATATGCTTCAGCAAAAAGGAAAGTTTGAAGCCTAATCTTGAAAGTAGAGATAGTGTCTGTCTCCTGAATCCAAACTGGAAGCTGGTTCCACAGAAGAGGGGCCTGAAAACTGAAGGCTCT